CTGAGCCAGCCCCCCAGAAGGAGGCACCAGCAGCCACCTGCACAGCTGGCCCTCCACTGGCTGCCTGCCCCTGCTGGCCAGGCCAGGCTTTGCCTCGGGAGAGGGCTGCGTGCCACCCACCCCCTTCAAGTCATCCCATTCCCCCGTCCCTTTCCCCAAACTAGGTCCTGGCCGACCTATGGGAGGCGGCGGGGCAGGTGACAGCAATGACAACTACCTGCATAGCGCCTGGGTAGTGGGTAGTGTTCTCTGTTGCTTCCTTCATTCATCCTTACCACAAACCCGTGAGGCAAGTGGCTGCATCCCCATTATACAGATGCAGAAATTAAGGTGCAGAGAGCCGGCCCCCCTACCCCAGACAGTGCAGCTGGACAGTGCGAGAGGATGGAGCTCCGAGCCAACATTGCAGTTCAGGGTGCAGGATTCTGGCACTCAGGGAGGACTCCCCAGATCCCACGATTATTGTGATCGGAGCAGCAGAAGACTCGTTCTTCCCCTCCTCTCTCTCCTGCTCAGTGTGGAGCCCTCAGTGACAAACTTCCAACCCAGTGCCTGCTGGGAAGACAGGAGAAGGGATTTTTTATTTTCTGAGGTGAAATTCGCATTATATAAAACTAGCCATTTTAAAGTGTACCCTCTCTCTCACTCTGTAACATTCATATCCCAAAAGGAAATCCAGAGTGGTTCCCATTCCCTGCCCTCTGGCCTCAGGTGACCACCAACCTGCTCCCTGTCTGGACAGTCACCTGCGGGGACATTTCATGGCCATGGTGATGGAGCCACACACAGTACATGGGCTGTTGTCCCTGACTCCTTTCACTTAGCCTAATGATTGCTAGATCCATCCATGCTGGAAACGGATCCCGTCTACTTTCCTACCTTTCTGTAGCTGAATAATATTCCATTGTGTGGCTCCGCTACATTTGTTTATCTGGCCAGGGATGTTAGAGTAGCAATTGCAAAGTCCTAGCTGGTCTGTGCCACAAAGGTGGAGCTGCTGTCCTAAGGCACGAGAAAGCTCCCCGGCGGGTGTGGTCTAGAGAAATCAGAGAAGCACCTGCTATGGGAGGATACCCTGGCTGGTGGGAGGTTTGAACTCTAAAAGACCTGCCTCTCTGAGTAGAGGGGGCAGGAGGCAGGCGCCAAGGAGGTCACAGGCCTCCTGCGGGTTTAAAAACAATCAGACTCAAAGATGCTTGAAAAACACTATGCTGGCCAAACAGAACCTTCTGGCAGACCCATTTCAGTCACTGCTGTGTTTGCAACCCTGGCTGGGGCTTCTGGAAGACTACCACATCAGCTCTGCCCTTGGCATTAATATCACCACAGAGAGAGAGAGAGAGAGAGAGAGAGAGAGAGAGAGAGAGAGATGGGAAAAATTGAATTTCAGGTCTAACAGAGGGATGGGTGGGTTCCCAAATATTAATAAGCTCAAAATGATGTGGGTAGGAAGTGTGCTGTAACCGGTCTGAGCAATAAGACAGAACGCTGACCCTGCTGAAGATTAAAAACAGCTTTTAATACCTGGCTGAGGGACAGTTGAGAGATTTAGATCTCTATCTCTGAATCAGTGGATGCAAACATAGCTAATCTTTCACTTCCTCACTGGAGAATTTAACTGCAGAACATGAAATTGTGGGTGACAGTCTCAGAAGACAGAAGTATGACGGTGAAACCCAGAATCTCACGAGCAAAAAATGTTGGATTCTTACAAGAAGCTAAAAGAGTTCTGTCTTGGGAAATTAGTTCCTTTCTCCCATGTTGCTCCAAGGGAACAAATTTGGAGAGTAAGGTGGTATTTAGTTCTATGGTTCTCCAGCGAGTCCTATGTCACCTGAGGAGCTTGGTAAATCTCAGCTTCCCAGCCTCCCCAGGCCCAGAAAGTGGCCTTCCGGGGCTGAGCGGCTGGAGCGGAGTAGGAATGTGCTTTACCAGGCTGCTGGATAATTGTCCCCAGCTCACTCTTTGACAAGCCCCAACCTACTAAATATTCTTAAACACACTGAAGCTAGAGTTGCAGCTGTGGAAATGTGTGCCCATGATGCTTCTTGCCCAAATCTCTGAGTCCAGGTTAGAGACTTCAACTGGCCTAACAGAGAAAATCATATTTCTTTTGTGTTTTTTTTTTTTTTAATTTACTCAATGAATATTATTGAGAATCTGCAGCCCTGCCCTATAGGTAGGACCGCTCTGAATGCTGCTCACTACAAAACTTACATTCTGGTCAAGATCATTGAATAGGGACAAGTCTTATTTTTCTATACACGGAAATCTACTAAAATGGAAGCATAGACTCTTTAAAAACTGGGAGGGGGTAGGAAACATACGTTCGTGTCACCGTCAACCCTGGAGAATCGCCCTGCTGATGGTTTACCACAAATGTGCACTTTCATTCCCCCAGGCAATGAACCCTGAAATCCTCAAGGTTACCGTTTCCCTGCCTTGGAACTTCTGATCTTTCTTATTCTACCTTGTAAGACATGCAGAACCCATCAACCCCCCTTTCCACAAAGAGGAAAATATCCAAAACCGGGCCCTCCCTGGTGGCAGGTTACAGTACAGCACTGAGAAACTAAAGCCACTTGAGCATGAGTTCGATCCCCACCCCAGGAGGTAACATGGCGCGGCAGACCTCTCCTGACCCCACCAGCTGCTCCCCTCAGCAGTGTATTTCATAGATCTGCCTGTTCTGCTCCCCACTCTGTCCCTGGTGAATCCTCTCACCGCCCCTGGACCTCTGGCCTGTACCCTAGTTCTGTATGCACAAATAAATAAATCTTTACCAAAAAAAATATCCAAAACCATATTCACCATTCTCTTAAGTCTCCTCTCCATGGTGAAGACCATGCTTTGTGACAATCTTGGATTCTCATTCCATCCTCTGGGTGGGACCTAGCCATCCATTCATCCATTTCTTTATTAAACACACATGAGCCAGATACTGTTTTCACCCTTGGGGAGAAAGTACATGGATGCTGGCCATTGTCCGTCAGGGGACAGCTCTGACTTCCAGCCAGCCTCACTTCACAGGGATCTGCAGGACCACCTTTTCTGACCTTCACTTACCTAAACATCACTACCTACCAATAAGTTCCTTCCTGCCTTCTTTGATTTCAGTGAGGTAGTACCAACTCCGAAACTTTTGTTTAGTTCCAGTTGCTTTCCTTCTCTTTTCTGATGTGTGTGTGGGTGGGTGGGTGGGTGTGTAGGCCTGCACGCTCACACACTTGTACACACCCACCCAGCCCCCCACACACACACATACACACACACACACACACACCATTTGTGCTTGAGCTTTATTTCAAAGCAGTATGATAGTGATCTGGAGAGACCATCTTGTCGGAAGCCCTGGCTTTACATGTCATTTCCCACCCCACCCCCGTGAGAACTTCTGCCCAATCTCTCCCTGAGTGTCCGCCACTTAATATCATGCATGACCTTCTTAGACACCTGTGTCCACCTCGTCCATTTCCCACAGGGCTCCTGTCTGAGCCACAGTGGTAAACAACTCCTGGCAGATTCAGCAGCCACTCGGGGAGAACCCGGAAATGCTCTCTCTAATAACTTCCCACACTGGGATCCCCACCCTTCCCGGGTCCCCTGCATAGGTAGTGGACACGCCCTGCGGTGGCTGCGTCCAGCTGCGGACCCGGGGGCCCTCTACTGGGCTCTGTGAGCAACAGCACCTTGCGTTAACGTCAGCAAACAGGAAGCTCTCTTTCGCACAAATGACGGCCCTAGAATTAGAATTTGGAGACGAAAATAATCTCCAAGATCATCTAGCCCCACTGCATTATTCAGATGAAGAAACTGGATGCTCAGAGCAGCTGTGTTAGGGACTAAACAGCGGCAGGAACCCAAGGCCCCTTTCTCGGGGCCCATGCTCTCCCCACCATTCATCCGCTTTAATTTCCCTGCACCAGCCCCCCAGAGGGTTGCCTGGAACCGCTGGGACTGGGGTTCCAAGCAACAAACCATAATTGAAAGTAGAGCCTACAAGCAAAGCCAGACAAACAGATGCCATCTGGGTGCTCAGGAATCTAGCCATTTGCTGCCGCCTTTCCTTTTAGGGCAGTGACAAGATGGATGGCACCAGAGGGATAATATGTTCCTATTTTTCCTTTTAATCCAGGACACCTGTTCCTTCTTAGGAGCATGTGTAGTATTTGGGGCTTCTTCTTAACATGTGACCAGCCACCTGTTGCTCATGCCTTTCCAAATTGGCTCTTGGGTTTGGGGACAGCCAACTGGACCCCCACCCACAACAATATGCGGGCATTTGCAATACGCTAAATTTGAGGAGTCTGGAGTCTGTTGGGAATTAGCAGGTCGAGACAGTGCTCCCTAGCAGCACACACACCATGACACGGCCTCTCCTTAAATGCGATAGCTACAGCCACCCGTCTTTGAAGAGAAAGGAAGGTTGGCGTTCACGTCTGTCTTTTTATTTCACCTTCACTGCCACTCATTCATTCAACAGCTATTTATCTACCACCTGCTATGTGTCACTCACAGCCAATCATCCACCCTATAGGCATGCATGGAGCCTTTGCATAGAGCAAAGCCCCAGGCTGGAGGCCGTGGGACATCCAGCAATAACTAGAACTCAGCCCCTACCCAGAAGGAGCTCTTAATTTAGTTGGGGTGATAAATCAGTCCTCAAGCTACTGTAATTTAAAACCATATGTGTTGAGAGCTACACAAAGGACGATGGATCCCAGAACAGAGAGAAGTCACTCCCAGCTGGCAGGTAAGAAAGTTGGCAAGATGTTGTGTGAGACTGAACCTTGAGGAATGGATAGGACTTGAATGACCAGGATGAGAGTTTGGCTGGCTGACGGTGGATGTAACAGCCAAGAGCAAGGAAGCCAGGTTCCTCACGGCTGCTGCGTGGGGTACACTGGCTGCAGAGGCAACCCATGAGGTGGGGGTGGGGAGACACTGAACCCTGGTAGGTTGGAAAGAGCTGAGCCACTCTTATTTCCTTGGCCCCTTAGGTTCCGAGGTCTGGCACCCCATCTGTAAACAGGCAGCCCGGGCGGAGAAGAAACTGAAGGTAAGCAAACTGGTAGTCACCAGAGACTTAGGTCACAGGTTGGGGACGCTGCTTTATTAGAGAATCGTGCGTTGGTGTGCAAATTCCCAAGGGTGCCCTTGGATTTCCTTAGTGATAACCCTGGTCTCTCACCGGTATCTTGAAGCAAGTAAGCCCTTGGATGTGAGACACTTGGAAAACTGTAAAACCCTATATTCATGTCAGTGTGCTCCCTGGGATGAGATTGACCCTCACATTGCTCGCCAAGATGGTGCCCCTCTGAGGAATACACGCAGTAGCCTTCCCAATCACCCCAAAGTCTGTTAATCATGACAATTAATATTGTCACAGAAATTGACAGTTTGCAAGGCATCTTTAGCACCACCACCCGATTTCACTTCTTGACCCCCAGAGGTAGATAGGATAAGGGATTTGATCTTCTCTGCTGATGATGGGATGTCCAGAGGGTGTAGGTTTGCTGCAGGAGCGCAGGCAGGCGGGGCACCGCAGAATCCCGGAGACACTGGCCAGAATGCAGGCGTCCTGCGTTCTGCTTTCTGACAGGTGTCAGGAACTGCAGGAAGGGACCCAACTCTCAGGTCGCTGATGCTGTGGAGGGAGACCTGGACTTGGGGGTTGGGGTGGGGGGCGGGGGTTGTGGGGTGGCACCCTGGGATCTCTAGGGTGCCTCTGTACTCTTGGCCCTGGATAGTGGTGTGTCCCTTTGGGGTCCTATGAAAAGTCACCTGCTAGAGAATCACCTAAAAACACATAACCAGCCGTCTTTCTGTTATGTCCTTTGCTGTCTCCACCTGAGGTAAGTCTGGTGAAGGAGCTATTCTGCCAAAGCTTTTTTTTTTTGAGCCATGAGGACTTTTCCCCTGTTTCTTCTAAAACTTCTGACATTTAAGGTGAAACAAAACCTAATTGTCCTTTATCTTCAATTTCCTCTTCTTTGAGAGCTTTTCTCAATTTTCAATTCTATTTCCACAAATCCTGATTCTTTTCATTACATCCATGTGTTTTATAATTATATATGTAAATTATATAAATAAGCATATAATCACATATGTGATATATATGGATGTGTATGCTTATATACTTATATTGGGCATCATAAATACATATATGATTATATGTACATATACTTACTGTATATATAAATCAGATACTTAATTTTTTCTTGAAATCAATTCACTGCTTTTTATTTAGCCAAACATATTTTAAAATGAAACTTTAGATCACCAAGTAGAAAGCCAGTATTATTTTCTGTAAATAGAAGGTAATCATAAGATACATTCAATGCAAATGAAATAATTCTTAAGAAAAAGTTTCAGTAAGTCTAGCTAGGTCATGCTACCTGTGATCTCTTTGCTTAAAAAGAGGCAAAAGTATGTCCAGAGAGTTATTTAAATGTAATCACACCAAATTAAGATTGTCCATGATCTTGTCAAGAAGACTAAAGTCAAAATTTGCATTTATACCAAATGTTCCACCTAAACTCGGCTCCCAGAGCCACCACTAGTTCACAGTGAGACTCTGAAAACATTCCTATCTAGTCTCACTTAGAATGCTTTAAATCAGAGGGTGAAAGATTTGGAAGTGAATGTAGCAGTTGTTAAAACCAGCCCATTCATTGTACAATCAGAAACCCGAGATTGCTAAAATCACAGCGCTCATGAATGGTCCTCAATCCCTGGTCTTTCTGCTTTTAACTTAATATGCTGCTTCTCACACGCACTAAGACTTCGCAGTCTTCTGCTCAGGGAGCCATTAATCCAGCTCTGGTTGGCCAGAGAAAGACTTTATCATTTAGGTTGATGTTAAGTGTCAATGGCCATGCTATAAAGAATCAGTATATTGTGCAATTTAACCTTCCTTTCCCTTTCGTATGACCAAATCTCCAAGGAATGAACGATAACCAATTGTACTCATAAACTCATGGGAGAACCCAAGGTGAAAATTTTGTGAGTAACTTCTTTAAAAGACCAGGTACAAACATGTGTGAAACAAAATCATGCTCTGTGCATTTTGGATTTTATGCACAGTGATTAGAAAGGCTGAAAATAAAGAAAAAGGACAGCCCACAGCCCAGGTCCTTTGAAACCTGCACTCACACATCCCTGTCTCCCAAATCACCAGAAAAGCATCTCACTGCATATCTCTCCCACAGCATAGGCGGACTTCTGAAACTTCCATCTCACCCCCTGGATCCAGCATCGGATCTCCCAACCGAGTCATCTGCGTACGTACCACTTACAATCACCAAAGACCTTTCTTACCCCCGGGGCTGCTACCCAGAGAGTTTCCAAGGAAACTGGGGGCGGCCATCAGGTTCCCATCTGACTGATCCTTGGTGGGCTGGGCTTGCCCTGCGCTAGTCTCTGGTGGGTCTGAGGGCAGGGAAGACAGGGACCTGACCTCGGAGCACACAGCCCAGTAAGCAGTTTCAGGGACGGCATCAGATTCAGCAGGAGCACAAGAAAGAGCCTAGAGTCACTCTGACACGCTCTGAAATCTGCACGCTGCTCCTTCCCCGTGACTTAACGGAGACCAAGACGAGAGAAAAATGGGGGTCAAAGTGCTGTCAGAGTGGGTATTGGGTGAGCTGTTGTGGAGACAGCAATGCATGTGATCAAGTGGGAGCCAAGGAAATGTGGAAACTGGCCATTGGGGATTTGCAGATGGAAAGTGCTTTCTTCTCGCCTGAGAAGCCAGGGGTGGAGTAGACCGGGCGGCTGTGTCTGAGCACAGGGATGTAGCAGAAGACACAAAAGCCACATTAGAGGACCTCCAGGGTCCTTGGTTATGTCATTCTTTCATTCACTGAGCAGATGTATACTGAGTGTTTTCTCTGTGCCCCGGGAAGCGGTGCTGAGCCTCCCTGCCCTGCCGTCCCCTTAACCCTGCACATAACTTGGGGATCAGGATGCAGTTCTGGTCAGTGCTAGTTATGTCAGATGTCCCTGTTCAGTCACCACCCCCCAACCCCCAGACTTAAGGCTCATAAACCAGGCTATAGGAAGAAATACGAATTTAGTGTTTTTGAGGTTTGGTATAAAGTTCCAAAATGAAGATGGATGGGTGGAAACAAGTTTATAAGATGCCAGGAGCTGTCAAGGTCAAGCTCAAATATCGCAGGGTGGAGGCAGCAGCCACATCAACAAGGTTCCTTTGATCTATATACCCCAAAGTTGTCCCAGATGTGGGCGTCTGCACTGGGCAGGCTCTGACAGGGCTGAGATGGGATTGCCTTCATGAGGGGACCATTTACAGAGGTGACAGAAGGATTGGGGCACCCAAGTCATCATGAAGCTTCCAAGGACTGGCAGAGGGGGGCAGTTGTCACCACCCTCCGGCGGTCACCAGAAGCCATAGGACAAGAGCCATGCTTGACCTCAACCTGCCACGCTGGGGGGTGCAAAGGAACAGGTGCCCCTGCCTCGAGAGACCAAGTTCAGCTGAGCCTGGGACACCCCAGAGCCTGCATCAGGGCAGGAGGGTAACTGTGGGGCTAGAGAGAGACCAACAATACTGCGCCCCAAGAGCAGTGGGATGGGACAGGGACAGAAGAGCCTGGGAGGTATTTAAAACCAGTGCTCATAAGGCCTTTATGGACGCTACTCTCTCCTGGTAACCCGGGCTCTGACTGCCCCTGCGAGGCAAAGGGAGAACATTCTGAAGCTAATATGTCTTTTAGGTTCTCTATCTAGTGTCTTCTGTCTTCATCAGCCTCCCTGTAGGACCTTGTGAATCACTGTAGATAGAGGCTGGGGGCCAGGCCTGAGGCTGGTCGCCAGGCCTGAGGCTGGTCAACTAGAGGGCGCAGCTGCAAGAAGCAGACAAGGAAAGGACACGGCCTGGGGCCGGGACACGAGGGCCTGTGTGCAGGGGACGCTGCCTCACAGCGTCATGCGGTTCTAGAGGCTGAACTCAGGCCAGCTCAGTAGATAGAGACTTGTTCCAGTTCCATAAAGGAGCAACTCTGACATGCTAGCCGGGACCCTGATTCCAGAAGCTAGGAGAGGCCCCTAAGGAGGGCGACTCCTAGCTTAGACCAACAGGTTTGAACTCTGCTTTTGCTATGTACTGGCTATGTGACCTTAGGCAAGTTCATGGTTGTCTCTGGGCCTGTTTCTCTACTCAAAAATGAGGATAAATAGCTGCCTACTATTAGAGGTGTGAATTGGGTGGACCATAGGGTCCATTCTAGCTGGTAATAACAGCCCACCAGATGTTAGCTAATGGCTTACCATGGTGCTTCTCTCTGTCACTACCACCTTCATCGTCTTCTTTGGACTCAGCGATGGGGGTGTCTTCCCTCTGTAGGGTGAAAAGGTGGTCTGCCCCCAGAGAGTATAGTTCAGACTGGACTCAAACCCATAACGGGCTCCAGTTACAGAATTTGGAGCCTCAGTTTGCTCATCTGGAATATGGGATTAACATAATATCATGACATTATGGGGGGAAGCCAGAAGAAGTGGCTTCTGGAAAGCCAGGCCCTCTCCCTGCTGCCCCCAGTGCTGCTCCTGTGGGAATGGAGGGCCTCAAAGGCACGTCTCACCTGACCTCAGAGTCTTCCGCCCTAACGTCTTGTGTTTATTGGAATCTGGAGAAGGTCCAGCCTCGGTTCCTGCTTTCTGCTTCTTCTCTCCTGTCCCTCTTACCTATCCATTTCTTTCTTTCCACTTCCTTCTTCCTCAGGCTAAGGTGGATAACGAGATTCTTAATTACAAAGACCTGGCAGCTCTCCCCAAGGTCAAGTCCATCTACGAGGTTCAACGCCCAGACCTCATTTCCTACGAGCCTCGTTCCAGATACACGTCTGACGAGATGTTGGAGAGATGTGGCTATGGAGAGGTATCGCATCTCGCCCCTCTCTGGGCCTGGCAGAAGAGAAGAGGTCCCTCCAAAGTGGGGGTCCCAGCCCCCTCTATCACACATAATTTGTCTTCCATACTATTGACCCCAGACTCTTAAACTAGAATTTATGTCAAATTTAAAAACCAAAAGATTTCATGCAAAAATCTGGCTTTAAACAAAAAATCAAAACTAGTTACACACCTTTTTTTCACCATCTGGAGGTGGGGAGCAGTGCCCCCTGTGGAGGGACAAGGACTTCCAGGTCTCCAATATCCCTACCATGCCCTGAAAAACCCACCATCACTCATCACTGCATTTGGGGGGCGGGGCGGAGGGGGAATTGTTGCTTATCTCACATGGTGGAATTCCATGACAGGCCAGGGCACTCACCCCTGCCAGGCTCAGTGGCCATTACGTTTAGGTAGCTTCTGTGGTTTGGGCACCTGACCTTACGTCTCTGTGCTCAGAGCAAGAGACTTTCATAAAGACTCAGCATTAATTGACTTTTGAGGCAGCAAAATGGCTGCTGGAGAACAGAACTTGCCTTCAGGAGAAGGTGGGGCTATGTCCCAGGAGGTGGCTGGGCCCTGAACTAAGCACATGGAATGGGGACACTGGTGCAGGGGTCAGGGACCCCTTCTCTTCCTGCTCCACTACTGTCCCCTTCCTCTCTAAAGGGAGTGGGGTCCCATTTGGTTTAAGAGTCAGCACTGAGATGCTTGGGGATCTGGTCCCTGAATTGGACCACAAAAAAAATACAAGGGCTTTCCCTTGTGGCACAGCTGTTAAAGCACCATATTATGAAGCTCTCCGAAGCCACTGCAGCACCATTTTGACCCCCAACTAGGGAAGTGACACCCACATGGCGCAGCAGACCTCTCCTGA